CCAGCTCTACTTTTCATACAGTGTCACAGGTTTTGAAATAGTAAAATAATAAAGGCCCATGGTCAGTCACGTCTGAGTTCCAGTTGAATGGGGAACTGAAAACAGCAGAGAGCAGGGAACATGGAGTAAATGCCAACTTTTAATTACAGCCCTCCACAGCCCAGTCTGGAGATGGAGGAGAATGCTGATGGTGAGGTGACTCCTCAGGCCAGGGGGTGTGAAGAGTTCTGCGGGCTTTGTTCCCCTCTGCTCTGAATAATCTGAAATGCAATGGCAGGGCAGGAAGGCAGCAGCTCCATGTGGGTTTTGTATGAGCCTTGCTAATTTTAGCAGTTTTCCCCCAGGTCCACAACCATGGCTGCCTTGCCCCTTGCTCTGGCTGGCTCCTGTTTTTCTGTTTCGTTCTGTCCAAGCTATTTTGGCTGCAGAAGGTCAATGCCAGCACTGTCAGGCCAGTGGAAATGCATTTGGGGGACAAAGGGAGATGGAGCACATGCCCGAGGACAAAATAAAAGAAACTGTGCAGGGTGAATTAGTTTCCTTTTCCTTCTCCTCCTGTTAGTGAAAGGATTGCTCTTGGAAATGTCTCTTTTTTTTTCATTTCTAAATAATACTTTCTCCGTTGTTGTTAGGGTTTTTGTTTATGCTGGTAGTAGATCTGCATTTTTAGGCTCTTTTTTTTTTCCCATCAGCAGAATATTAACCACTAAAGTGAAAAAAATATGTATTCAAGATCCTGGAAGAGAATATCTGAATATCTGGAAGTATACCACTCTTCCCTGGGTTTGTTTGGGTTATTTTGCCATGAGTCTGGATTTTACTACTCCAGCTCTGGATACCTGGAGTTTTCATTTGTTTATCTTCACAAAGGAGAAACTTCTTTCTATACAAAATATTATCAGTTGCATCTTAGTGCAGGAAGCAGGTAGTGCTGGTAGAACTTGCCACAGGCGGGTAGACACTGGAGCCTCTTTTGGGTAAATTCTCAAATGAAAAGACCAATCTCTTTGGAGGACAGACTGAAGTTAAGTTACAAGATACATGAATGACACCCATTCACTTTTTGGGGGTGAACTCATCTGAACTGACTAACTTCAGAAAGAGGTCTTTGAGTCCAGCCCTGAGGTTTCTTAAAAGAGGCAGTGATGGAACCTCATTTCCATACCAGGCTCTCTCTCTGTTTGTGGGGTTGCATGTCTACCTGCAAATGGAAGAGTTTTATGCAAAAATTGAAGCAAATCAATCAAATTAATGGCTTATGTATTGCAAAACAGCAGAAATCCAGAGGAAGTTTGTGTGGCTGGCTTAAATACCTTTTTAGTTCAAACTAACTGAGTGTGAAAGAGATAAATATACACATTCCTGTGTCACAACAAAATGCAGTAATGGGAGACAAAGCATGGGAGATGTCTGTAAATTGGTGATTAATGTTACATTTATCTTCCTCTGGGCTAGTTAGAACTGAGAGTTGGTGGCCAGATGTTTCCACCCATTCATTCCTCTCATTGCCTGTCTGATGTTCAGTTCCATCCACTCTCCTGTATCTTGAGTTCACACTGATCTTGTCTCTCCCTTCCTTTTTCTTTTTCCTGTGGTTCATTCTCTTAGCAGCCTATTTCTCTTTCAGCTGGAGGTCCTCAATTTTTTAACTCCTTTCTGAATTGTGCAGACAAGTTTGCTTTCTTTAACTGGTCCCTGCAACCCAGTCTTATCTACTTGTGGAAATTCCTGGGTTTATATTTTTCCCCAAATATCTGAAGATTCCTAACTGCTGAAAGGGAAAAATAATAGAAACAATCACTCTTGCATCCTCCACACTAAACTACAGGAATTTGTGTTCCAGAGCATGCTTTACTGTAATCTCATGGAACACATTGTCTCTCTCTCTTTGGGTCAAAGAAAACACAGGAACATTCCCGTTGTTTTTCATCTCATTTTTCAATTAGTATTAAAGCAGCACACCCTTATGCATAAGTCTAACATGAGTCCATGCACAGGTCAGGGTGTGAATAGCACTAATAAAAGAAAGCTTGTGTCATTCAATTGTGTGTTTGCAGCCTCACCTGTGAACAGAGTAGAGAAAATAACGTGGTAGCACAGGGAAGTTGGGAAATGGGGTTAGATATAGGACAGAGAAATGTGAGATACAATGGGGCTCCCATTGGGTTGGGTAAGGCAGCTGAGCAGAAAGGAATATTTTTTAATATTGCTGCAGCATAACTCAAAGAGCTTTATCTTTTAATATTTAGATGTCTGTCAAGAAGAGTAAACACAAGGGCTGTTTGGAGTGTTCTCACTGAATAACTCGTGCTGGAATCACTTGGTGAATTGGGAAATTATCAGTCTCATAGCATTTTTTCAATAGCTCAGTAGACAAACAGTGGATTTGACAAATATTTAAAAATAAACCAAGTGAGCATTATGAATTTCTGTCAGTAGAATAATTCTGAAATAGTTCAACAGTCCCAGAACGGCACCATATTGGCTGAAAAGAGGGGAGATTTTAGGCTTGAAATTGTGTGGGGACAAATGTGACACCGCAGTTGTCTTCACTGGAGTCACAGCTGCAGGGCAGTGCTCAGACACCCGAGCTCACACCTTCAGTTCCGAGATGAAACTGGAAAAAAGCCACTGACAGTGAACGTGGATTTGCCATTACCATGCAAACGAAGAGAGTCATTTCTTCCAGGTTTATGGAAAAACAGTTGGCTTCTCTCAATTTAGCCAGGAGTTTGTCTCGTGTGGGCTTTATAAATACTTAAAAGATCGAAACAACGCCCATCCGTGTATGCAGCAAAGACAGCTGAGATGCTGAGATCCCCAGCACTGGCTGGGGATGGAGCACACTGCAGCTGCTGCCACCCCACAGCCTGTGCCCTGCTGCACTGCTGCTGCTGCCACCACTTGCTCTGGAGGCAGGAGCCACATTTCTGCATCCAAATTAACTCTGCCCACCTCAGTCCACGATGTAGGCTGGCCTTCTTGGTTTGCATGTCTGTTTCTAAAAATATATGTTTGTCAGGAAGTTGTAAGATGGCTCAGAAAGGCTGGACCTTGGTATAGTCTTAAAGACTGCACAGAAATGGGGATGGCAGCAGAGCAAGCCTGAGCCAGCTCTTAGCAAGGTCTTGTTCCTATTTTCATCAATCTCAGTTTACTCTGCTGCTGTCAATTGCATCTCAGGAGGCCTTTATTGTTTCTGGCCACCTCCATCCTTGAGGTAGCTGCAGGACATCCTGCTTCAAACATAGAATCATGGAATGATTTGGGTTGGAAGGGACCTTAAAGACCATCCAGTTCTAAGCCCCTGCCATGGGCAGAGACACCTTCCACTAGATCAGGTCACTCCAAACCCCACCCAGCCTGGCCTTCAACACTTCCAGGTGCCCTCTCTCTTCCCCTGTGCTGACAGTGCCCCATTGCCTCATCTCCTTCCTTCACAGCCTTACCACCCTGCAGTGGCTACAGCCAACGTCTGCTTTTAGCTCCTTATGTGGCTGCCACACTAAAATGTTGCATGTGTACTGCATACTGCTAATATTTATATTAAATATATGTTATTATAGATATAGTATATAATCACACATTATATGTGATTATGTATTATTTTGTATAGATATACAGTAGAATCACATAATAAATAGACAATTGCTGAAGTGTTCATGTGCTGAAAAACTATATATTAATTAGATAAAATTACATATAGTATATCTAAATTAAATTATATAAGTGATCTGTAATTAATATATAATGCATAATTAGATGTAATAATATACATTAATTGCACAAGTTAAAGAATTGGCCTAAATATACATACTGTAGTTCTGTGACCTAGTTTAGTACCTAGTTAGCTCTGTGGCCTGTTAAGTACCCACATATGAATGAATCCTATTCCACATAGGATGGAATCAGAGGTACACACTCCGTTTTCCTTCTCAGATTTTCAAACACCCTCTGTGGAAAACATGTAAGCCCATTCCAAACTTGGGCCCAGAAACCCAACATCTGCAGAATTTCAGGTATCAAAACCTATTCAGAGCCAACAGCATAAAAATCCCCAGCACAGCATCTACCTCGACACAAATCAAGGCTGCTCTGTGAACACAGGGGTTTTCCTTCTCCTTTGGCTGGAGTGTTTTTTACCTGCTCTGGGCTGTTGGCAAATCAGCTGGAGCAATTGCAGGACACTCCCAGGGCTGCTTATGTGTTGTTTGTATTTTGCACCCTCTCTCACCTCACCCCTATTTGACAGAATGCAAACCAGCAGCCAGATGCTTCTGCGAAACACGGAAACCCAGGCTGAAATCTGCTGCTGTGACTTTTTAAAGCTTCAGGGAGGAGGATCAAAGGATCAGTGGAATTCCTGGGAGAGGGAGGAAGGAATCAGCTGTATTAGAAATTTCTTTCCTTTACATGAGGTGAAATAGAAACAGGTGAGAGGAGGGGCTGGGAATTTTCATAAATCTGATTTTGCTGGCGTTGAGCAGCTTCCCTCGAGTTTAGAATATCAGGACACGGTGAACGCAGCACTAAGCACAGGCACTCCCACCATAGTGCTTGACTCGGTGTAAGCACTGTCAGCTCAGCATTCAGGGGGCTTTCGGAAAGAATCAAACAGCTGACTAGAAGTGACAAGGAAAAGCGGGCTTGGAGAGGACACTGGGACAGCCTTGAAGCCCGTCTGAACCGCGCTGTTGTGACAGGCTGACAGGCTGCATCCTGTGTGTGCGCATGAGAATTTACTGATACATACAACGTTAATTACCCAGTTATGTCCTGAAGCAAGGCTGGGAATGAATTTCAGGAAAAGAGATGTTTGTTTTGCGCGGGCGCCCACATCCCATATACTTTCAGTGCCGCGGAAATTGCCCCGCATCTCCGCCCTGCGAGCGCCCGTGCCTGCAGCTGCGGGCGGGGAGAAGACTCACGGAAACCCCCGTGCCCCCATTCCTCAGCCTCCCCCAGCATGGAAATCCTGACCAGCCACAAGCCCAGGGTCTATCCCCTGCTCCCGCCTCAGCTGAAGCCGTACAGCTGTTGCCTGAGTAGGGAAAGGGATTGGATTTCACGGGCTGTGTAATCTGCGACAGCGCTCTTTGCCTTGGGGATAGCAGCGAGCCTCACCCCGGCTCAGCCATCCCCTTTCTGCCCGTGAGCAACGCCCCGGCCGACATAGAAGGAAAATTGTTTGCTGAATTTCTGCACAGCCCTCCTTCCAATTGCTGAAGAGAGAGGGGGAGTGAGAAAGAGAGAGAGTTTAAGGCAGGCTCTGCACTGGTGTTCTGGGCTATTTCAACTTCAGGGCAACTTTAGAGAACTTCAGTTATTTTTGGTAAGTTTTTTTCTTAAAACCCAAACGTCTCTCTCTCTTTCTTTCTTTCTGTGAAATCTCTGATGCAGATTGCAAAAGTTTGCAGTAGATGATGGGCTTTTAAAAATGCAGAGAGATGTGGGCGTGAGCATTTTTGCGTCCTTTGATGCAGAAACCGGACTTTACAATTATAAAGACATAATGTTCCCAGCTGCTGTACTTGATAAGCGAAACCTGAAGATGTTGTATGTTAAATGACACTGCTGGGGAAAAGTATTGCCCAGAGCTTCAGCCAAGGTGCATCTCACCTGGTGTAAAGCTTTGCCTCTTTCTTGTGCATGGGAAGAGGTGAGATCGGGGATGAACAAATGTGTTCGCCCTGATAAAGTTTCTGATCCACTTTTTTACGCAGGGGTTTCAAGCCTCTAAGCCTCCCAAAGCTTTCAGAGCAATGTTGGTTCTTAGTGTATACACACCCCTCCATTCAGTAATCTCTATTCCAGATCATGCACGTTGTTTTTCTTACTTCCTCTGTCTGTATACTTAACCCATCGGGACGATCTCAAAGATAGTGAAACTCTTTTGTAGTGCTAAGACCAGTCCCAATTGTTGCAATGAACTGCAGTGTGCAAAGAGCAATTTTCTTAGAGTGAGTTTGACTTCGGATGAATATGAGTTTTCTGTTATTTGTTCTTCCCTTAGGTATGTTTGGATTTTATAGTATCTCTGTTCCTATAAGAGGAATACTGTTTGTGTGAATATTATACCTCAATATATACTATTTGCAATATATAAGTATATAACTTATATGACTTGGCATCAGGATCTCTGAATGTTCATGGAATTTGAGAATAGGATTAACCTTGAAGCATTCAAAAAGCAGATCCATACCCTTGTCAGTAGAAGTTGGGTCCTGGAAGTGCTCACTGCAAGGCTGCTGAGGCTAGTTCATAAAGTGCTGGGAAATACACAGGGTAAAATTATTCTGTCCACCTGTCTAGGTTCATCCATCTACCCTGATATCTCTCTGGTCAAGTAGAATCTATAACTGTAACCACGTGTAGAGAAAATGAAAAGTCCGTTCTCTCAAAACTTCAATAGAAAAGAGAGAAAACATTACTCATGTGAGAGAAAAGACCAAAAGTCATTGCTAAAACAAAAATAACACTTATTCTTTATAATTTATGACACAAAAAACACAGAAGGTTGGAAGATGACTTGTAAGAGACACAGTACTTAGTTTATAGTCACCTGTTGCATGCATGAGGGAAAAGGTCAAAGTATTGCCTCTCTCCTTCTTTTACTATAATAAAGAAAAATTACAAGAAATTTTGCAGACCTAAGCAAATCAGAAGTAAAGCAGCTTACAACAGCCAATTTACTTCCAAAATCCATCCTAACATAGGTAAAAAATCCAGCATAAAGAAAGTTTCAGATGTTGAACAGCACGGGAAAACCTGTAACATCTCAGGATGTTTTGGGTTTTATTAGCTGTGTTTAAAAATGATAAGTGTGACTGGAACTTTTAATTGCAGAAAGTCTATAACAATGGAGTTAACAATAACTCTTCAGCAATAAACTGAAAACTATAAATCTGTGCCAGGCGCTCTGCCGTGCTGACACGCTCCATGATGGCTGTAGCTTTTCTGTGCAAGCATGTAGATTTGTTAGCTAAAACTGCATTTTACTATCTTTGGTGTGGCACTCTCGTAAAGTAAACTCTACTATTAGATTATGAGGCTTGTGTAAATCTCTGACTGAAGTCAGTTTGACTCTAGTCAGTGCTCGTAAGCAATCCATCGGGGATGGCTGCCTTCCAACCTGCTCTGCAGCGGGTGTTAATGTCTTTTCAGTCGGACAGGGCAGCGGTAACTTCTGGCAGTGGCTTGCCAGGGGTTTGGAGATGGCACGTATTCCCTGCTTTTAATTGTCTTGGACGCTCAATCTGTATTCACAAAACTATGAGGTCAACGTGCCTCTATTCGCTTTTGGCTGTACTCGAAGCTCATCACTGAAACAAAATCCAGCAGTCTGTAGTGCATGGTTATTGGGAATCGCTGCAATCTGAGTTAACCTCCTGTTGACTTCAGGGGGTTCAGTGCCCTGTGCTTGGACACACCTTTCTCCAGGAAGCCACACCATGAACTTCACAGGCACTTCACTTAACGTTGTCACTGTGAGTGGAGGGGGCATCAGGGTCTCACTGAGATGTCATGCCTTACATGAAGCCACAGAAATGTGTATTTCAAGGTTTGAACCTCCAGATATACTCGGAGCTTTGGGTTGTTTATTCCTCAAGTTTTCTACTTGGGCAAAGAGTTAAGTTCATCCTATGCAAGTGCAAAACGTTAGAGTAAGATTTTTTCCAAGATTCCTCACATTCAGAGACTAAGTAATTAGAATATAAGGCAGTGTATTTGAAAGGTGTGAAAGCTTATAATCTGAGTAAATATTTAAGTAAATAGAGTCAATCTGGTTTTTTACATCTAGCTATTTTTGCATTCCATAATGTTGTTTACATTTGGAAGCAGCAAAATATGACCTGCAAAATCCCAGGGTTTCCTCCTCTGGAGAAACATCTCACTGTGTTAGTGGGCTCCGTGTTGCAGGTACAATTTGAACCAGTAAGGCTGAGAAAAGCCTCACCATTAACCTTGTTAGGAGTGAGGAAGGGACCTGGCCCTCTGCACCAGCACAGGCAGACCCAGCAAGGGCAAGCACTTGCTCTGAGGCACTTTGCCACGTCCCTGACCCCCAGTGCACCAACAAACTGTTTTCCTGACAACACCAGCTAACAACTGCTGCCTTGTCTGCTTCCCTGAGGTGTAACTTCCAGTCTGCCCAGCAGGCTTTTCCCTTCACAGCCAAGTGGTGGAGCAGTGCTGAGCCATGTAAGGGGACTCAGCTCCCCATGGAACTAAGATTAAACGTGACTAAAACTAGTTTTCCATCTCTCCACATGCTGCAGGAATCAAAGCAACATCCCTGTGGCAAGGAAAGTCCTTCGGATGACCCAAAGCTGTGCCTAGCCCCAGTGTGGGAGAGTTACGCCTGCTCCAAGGAAAATTTCCTAAATCCACGAGTTTTCTCATTTCACTCCAGATTTCAGAGTCAAGGCTGGAATTCTTTATTTCATATTGGAAAACAAAACCTCAGGCTAGGAGATGACCTTTCATGTACTAAATACTTCCTATCAACATGTTTACTTCCTGAAAGGGGATTACAGGTAGCCAAATATCTAAAAGTAACCACTGACTTATTGCAGAGAATAAGTCTGCAAATTTCTGTCAAAGAAGGGGATGACCAAATGTGTAGTCCAGAGTGACTGAAACAAGTTAAAATATGCTAAGGCTGCTATGGCATGTAAGTAATAAATAGGCCAAGATAATTGGTAGAGGACCCATCAATAAGGGACAGCAGCTGTGCAAAGGAGAGGGTCCCAGGCCACGGTAACCACCCAAATCCCAGCAAAATTCCATGGAGCAGGAATGCAAGTGCCTGAAGAAGAGCAGGCACCAAGTCCACTTCATCTGCCTAATAAAGATAGCAGTGTCTTCAGGGGGCAGAATTATCTGTTTTTCAGAAACACAAACAAAGAGATAAGGTTTATATGATTTCCAAGCTTGCTGATAAATGCTTGGGACTCCAAAGCCACAGGAACTGCTCTTCACTGCTGGGCAAATGTTGTTTCTTCTCTGTAGTTAAGAGAACAAACACTACTCGATTTTGATAGCAGTGGTCTGTACCTGACTTTCATAGAGCCAGAGGAGCAGCTCTTATCCGTGCAGCCCTCTGATTTTAAATACCTTTTACCTGCCCACTGACCTCCCAGTTCTCTCCCTTTGAACACTGGTGTGTTTGCAGCCTCAGCCAGCCAGCACTGAAAAGCAAAGTTTTCAAGCTGCACATACTTCTTCCCATTTCCACAAGTCCTACCTAAATAGTCTAATAAACTGTTAGAGATATAAAATATTCCACCTTGAAGTGCATCCTGAAAGCTCACACGTTTTATTAGTCCAGGCATCCTCACTTTTCCTAGGATTCCCATTCTCCATACCAGCCATAGGAACCAAATGTCATCAGGTTTCCACAGGTCCTCTCTTCATTTACTTGCTGTGTGGTTTGCTCCAGCTCCTGGACCTTAGACTGTCAGCCAGACACAGTGCTCTACTTTTCCCTCGAGTAAACACAGGCAGGAACTTTTCTTCCCTTTGCCTCACATCACTCTTTTTAATCCAAAGAATTTGCCTTAGCACTGTTACTTGGAGGAGTGAGTTCCAAAATGGGAATTTTAGCCTGAGTAGAAGAAACTCAAAGGACATGCATGCAGGAGCAAAAATTATTAAAGTTAGCAAACAGGCTAGTAATTTTCCACACAGCAGGAATGCTTTAACTGATGTTTGCATTGTATTCTAAAGGGGAAAAATGGCTTAGTGGGACTAGGCATCGTTATCTTGAAAATTAGTTAGAGACTAGCTTTTGGTGAACCTCAAAGAAGTTAGCAGCTCTCCCTCAGATAAGAAGATCAGATAATTATCCAAAAGATTGGTTTGTTTCTTTTTTTTTTGGGTGGGGGGGGGAGGGAGCAGGGATTTGGGTTTTTTAATTTGCTTGAAAACTGAGCATGGCAGTATTAGTTTAAAGGTTGGACTTTATGATCTTGGAGGTCTTTTCCACATTTAAAGGTTCTCTTATTCTGGGTGTGTGAGTTTATGGGAAGGTCTATAAGATGAAGATCTGTGAAACTATCATGAGAAAGCTGGTGGTTTCAATTGCTGATAGTTCCTGATATGAGCTGAGCTTCCCCTATTCCTGCTTCTAAAATCAGCCAAAGGCAAATAATTTACAAGAACACAAAAATGTCATTAAACATTCCCCAAATATTTTCATATATGTCAGAGCTGATCCAATTTATGTTTCAGTGAAAGGTTGCATTGATTTTAATATGAACTGTGTCCTCACACTTCTTAAGGCTGACTTTTTCACATAATGGGCTTGATTATGAGAAAAAAATTGTTTGC